AGTAGGTTCAGGTAACCCGTGAAAAGCCCCTGTCTGTAGCAAAGACTGACAAAGTGATAGACTATGGATTTTCCCATAGGAGAATTTGGATTTGGGGATCACCATCATGAGGAGACTCAGTATTACAGGGCCTGGCACTCAGCCATTTCCTGTCAGTCTTAATTTTTTTTTGCAGTACGCGGGCCTCTCACTGTCGTGGCCTCTCCCATTGCGGAGCACAGGCTCCGGACGCACAGGCTCAGCGGCCACGGCTCACGGGCCCAGCCACTGCGCGGCATGTGGGATCTCCCCGGACCGGGGCACGAGCCCGCGTCCCCTGCATCGGCAGGCGGACTCTCAACCACTGCGCCACCACTGATTCATAAATTGATCTTCTGCTCCAAAGCAAAGTACTTCTGCTTTCTTTCATTTCTGTTTTTACGTTCTGTTTTGCTTGGACTTTCTCCAATCTCTCATCAAAAAAAAAAGAAAGAAAAAGAAAGTTGTTATTTTCAATGTATTTATTTGCTTAGGATTCACATCCAGTCTGCTTCTAGATAGAATCAGTTGAGCAGTTTGTGAATTAACCATGAGGGAACATTTAGGGGAGTGAAACAGGAAGGGGCTGAGCTGAGCTGACCCAGACTGTCGGGCGAATGAGTTCAGCCTTGGACAGTTAAGAAGAAACACGGAAGTACCACCCTGCCTCCAGTGGTTCCTCCTATTGGACACAGAGGGCGAGCAGAGCTCGTCCAGCCTCACTGGTGATGGGACAGAACTCTTCCCCCCCCCCATCCTCTTCTCTGTTCCCTCCAACCTTGCATGCTGGGCTTACCTAAAGCATTACCCTCCTCAGGCCCCACTTCCCGTAAGCAACTACGGCTTTCACGGAGCTGGTGATGCCTGCATCCTCTTAGTAAAGACTGCATAAGCCTCCATGTCCGATTGTCCTGTTTCCTGACATTTACCTGCTTCCTTCCCTACATCCTCACTCAACATGAGGGAGCCTATCAGCATCGGGGAGACCTTTCCCAGAGGGTACAGTGTATTCTCGTGATTTCCAGAACATACTTTTTAAATTCTCTGTTCTAATTCTTTAAAAAATTTTTTTTGATGTGGACCATTTTTAAAAAGTTTTTCTTGAATTTGTTACAGTATTGCTTCTGTTTTATGTTTTGGTTTTTTGGCTGCGAGGCATGTGGGATCTTAGCTCCCCGACCAGGGATCGAACCCTCACCCCCTGCATTGGAAGACGAAGTCTTAACCACTGGACCGCCAGGGAAGTCCCTCTCTGTTCTAATTGAAATAATATTGTGCCCTCCCTCATTTACTTTTTTCCAGGATTTTTTTTGACAACCAGTTGGATTTGTCCTTCTGCTCTGACACACGTCAGCATCCTGGGTATCACATCCCCAGCCATCTTTCTAGTTCTTCATCAAGTTTGTAATGGGCCTTCAGGAAGGTTAATGACCTACAGTCCTGTTTTCACTTTGTCTTTCTTTTGGGAGATTAAGATAAACACCATATCTGTTATCTTTATTGTTTCTCTTCCCAAAATTGATTAGAGGCCCTTGCTTTTTCTTCACCAGGTCCGTAAGACTCAGCCATGAGAGCACGTCTTTTCAATGGGGATGATTCTCTTGGAATAACTTACCCTTGGCCAAGTTCACGGTGATATGACTGCCTCTAGCACATTTCTACCTGTGTCAGTCTCCTGCTTTAAAAAAATAAAACGCGAAAAGTTCTCTTATGTTTTGACTCATTCTTGAGAGAGTTCTAAAAGCAGCAACAGAAAACAAACAAAATCTCCACATCTCTCCACTGTCTGTAATTTTCTCTCATTCTTTATTATAGTGTCATTGTTGTGTCTGCTTTGTCCATTCCGGCCATCAAGAGCCATCTCAGCCCTGTGTTCCCCGAGTTGTCTTTCTGGAGTGCCCTCAGACGCCATTAGGTCTGGGGTTTCCACCCTGGCCTTGATCCTGTCTCTGCAAACTGTGTGCCCCTCTGCTGTCTGAGGCGGCACACCCCTCCTCTGTGTTCTCCGAGTGAGAGCTCCCTGACCCTGGGAAGGGATAACGATGTGCCTTTTTGATGTCTTGGTTTGTTCTTTCTCTTCAGAACTCTCCTTCCCTTTCCCCAGGTATAAAAGCAAAACAGAACAGAACAAAATAAGCCTCCCCATCAGGTGTACCTTTCTCAGTTACTCAATTTATTGTTTTCCTTTGACACTCATTTCTTAATTCGTCTAATAGTTAATTTCGATCTTTCATTCTGTCCTTTTTTTTTTCCTCAAAGTATCTTCAGTTTAGCAGCCAATGATAATTTGTTGTGTTTTTTTTTTTTCACACACACACACACACACACACACACTGTATTTTATTTTTACAGGAGATAAATAGACTGACACCAAGCATTGTAAATGGATGACCACGACAAAAGCAACAATGACTGCAATTACCAAACACGAAACACACTCACACTGTGTCATAATATTGACATTCAGTCCAGGAATCCTCCACTGTAACAGCTCCTTCACTTTGCAGTGAAAATTGATTGGTATATTTTTTGCCTCTGAGTCCTCGTGGGATTTTTCTTTTTATTCAAACAGAAAGTCACAAAAATTATGATCATCCTCATCAGTCCACTCAGTCCCGTGTAATTAATTTTTTTCATCTTGATCTTTTGTTGGCACTTTTATGAATTCATCAGTTTCCCATTAGAGTTCAGAAAATGCTTCTTCATTCAGTTCAGCAGTACAGTCAGTTACCAGAAACCTGTACTTGTCAGAGTCTTTTCCATGAATTCCTTGAAGATGAAACCCTTTTATAGGAACATTTTTGCAAAAGCATCAGAGTATACCCAGAACTGTCTGTAAATGACAAAAGACTTAAAAATGACCACGGTTAAAGATTGGATGAAAGTTCATAATAATGCAATTGGCAAGGAAATTTAGTTATTTCTGAGATATACATTTTAAAGTAATAACTAGAATTATGACTTATAACATTATACCAGAACATATAAGATTTTTAGAAATTTCATGTAATGTCTGAAACATTTATATTAACGTATTTCCATACAAAAAAATCAAAGAAAGTTTAGTATTAGTTGTTTTTTTGTTTGTTTGTTTTTTTTTTAGACTGCAGGATAATTTGTTGCTTTTATTGTTAGTAGTAGTATTAGGAAAATTATCTACCTTTGATATTTCACTTTACAGTTAGAAAACAAATTCAAATATTTTAGCTCATTTTATATCCACAGCTAGGCCATGCCACAGGCTGAGTATGGCAAATCAACATTTCGTGGAGACTGAGGCTCCATTCCACTGAAGAGAGCATTGCTGTGCCATTAGATCCAGATCCTCCTGATTGGGGAAATGTGTGTCAAACCGATATATCATCATGCAGCATCTTCTAGGTCTGGTTGGTTGGTCAGTCACCATTTCCTGTTCATTTGCTGGAGTCTGACTTTGCCCTTTCACACGGAAGCAGGAGGGACTGAATTATGGAAGTAGTTTCCTTACCTGTCTCCTGAACTGCCATATCACATCTCTACTAGCTTCCACATGGTCCAGAGTGGTCCTTCATTTACAAACATCACCTCAGGTCAAAACTGCATGCAGTGGCACAGGGAGATCAGCTCGGTGCTTTGTGACCACCTGGAGGGGTGGGATAGGGAGGGTGGGAGGGAGACGCAAGAGGGAGGGGATATGGGGATATATGTATATGTATAGCTGATTCACTTTGTTATACAGCAGAATCTAACACAACGTTGTAAAGCAATTATACTCCAGTAAAGATGTTTAAAAAAACAACAACTGCATGAAGTAAAAACATAAAACGGTTCCTTCACATTCAGAATAAAAAGTAAACTCACTGGTCTGGCACACCTGGCCTGTGTCTGGCTCCCCAGCTTATGTCTACCTCTTCTGTACATAGTGAAAGCACGGTGCTTTCTCCAATCGTGATGCCTTGTCACAGTCCATTCTTTCTGCTGAGAATGTGTTTTCCCTCCTTTGCTTGGTAAAATCCTGCAAGTGTCAGGGGGTACCTCCTCAAGGAAGCCTCACCAAATCCTACTCTTCCTTTGAAACTTATCTCAGGTGTCATCTCCTCCAGGGAGCCTTCCTACACCTCCTCCCTTCCCCTCTCCTCTGGAGCTAGCAATATGCTGTTCTCCGGTGACTCCTCATTAGAGTACGTGGACAGCTCCGTGTATTTTAATTTTGTGCTACGGGCCTAGATTGTGACTTTTTCCACAGTCTCTGCCAAAGAGTATCTAATCAGTAAATACTTGCTGGCTGAATGAATGAAGAGCTTTCTACCTGAAAGTTCCTGCACTACTATGACCATGTCCTAGACTTATATGTATGTTTTGCAACCACAGAAAAAAAATTCAGCTGTGAGCCATCCCTCAGCATGAGCTTTCATGCCTCTTGTTCCAGACATCCTTGACTTATTAGTTATATTTTAATTTTTCATCAAATAATCAAACATGTTTATAGATTCTTGCTGTGTATGCATTTTGAGAACTTTATGTGAAACTTCTTGCAGTTTGGAATCAGAGTTTCACATGTGACCCTAGCATCTGGAGAAGCATTCACCATGTTTTTTCAAGTTCCTGGGGAAGTTTTCTAAGACGCTGTTTCATGAGCAGTGTTTATTTATTTTCCTAATATATGTCAAAGGCAATTTAGGGCTCACACTGTTATCAGCTACAACTCAAAATGAAAGCCCATTCATCAAAGGAAGACACAAGCTTTGAGATTTTAACTGAACGTATATTTATATCTATCTTTACAAATATCCTCGATTGAGCAAGTGTGCAGAGAAAGTCAGACTATTTTAGAGTTCTGTTGTTATTTTTTGGTCAGTATCTGAGAGGATTTTTTGGTTTGTTTGTTTTTACTGGTTAATTAACATCTAATCTATTAACTAGACAAGATGTATTCATATTCACCGTTCCTCTTGCGCTCAGGCCTCCTTAACAAGTTTCTTGTGATTTTTTAATTTTTTCAGGAGGAATGTCAGAACTACATCCGGGTACTGTTGGTGGGTGGCGACAGGTTATTTACCTGTGGAACCAACGCTTTCACGCCGGTCTGCACCAACCGCACGGTACGGCTTCAGCTGGAACTTTGACAGATTTTAATACCTGGAAAATCCAAGCATTCTATTAAAACCCTAGTTTTAAACGTGTTTCTATTCTCCAAAGAGTTGCTTTTTAATTTTAAAAAACATCTTTTGTCAAACTGAGTAAATATTTGATGTACTGATCTATTACTAATAACACTATTATATAAAGAACTGGTAATAATTCTAGCTTGTTTAATTAAATTTAAATATGCTTTCAGACTATTTCTACCAGCTTATTTCCCACCAGACCCTAAACATAATCCTAAACGTATTCTTATTTCTTTTTCTTCTTTATCGTAGGGAGGCTGTTAAGTATTAAAATAACCTAAAATTATAATCCAAGTGAAGAAAACACAGTTTACAAATTGGATGAGAAGGGTGTCAAAAAAGTAAAGCAAACTAGCAAACAAATGGAACCCTACGAAAAGTAAAGTTATATGCCACCCTCTGTCTTTTTATTTTAACCTGTCATTATTGACAGGGGAATTTTCAGCATCCAGGTCTTATACCCGTAGAACTGCCGGGTTATCAGAGCACACGTGTAATCTTCCTAATATGGGATATTCATTTGATCTTCCTCCAGGAACATGATGAAGAAATATCACTATGTTAATTTCCTGGTTACACACTTTCTCTCAAGACCTGAGCTTACCATCCTCTTTTAGTATTCATTATTTTCAAATAACATTCAGTTATTGGAAAGAAAGGGAGGATGTTGATGATAAGAAGTGATGCTCACAGAGAGATCCCTAGGTACCATGGCCTGTCCGAAGCACCTTACAACTTCATCCTCACATCCACCCTATGTGGTGCTTACCCTTTGGGTCACCACTTTATAAGAGTCTAAGGCTTAAAGACTTGAAGTAGCTTACCCGGGGCTACACGTCTAATAAAGCAGGCAGTGTATCTGAGCCCCCCTGCCTAACCCCTCTGCTCTTGTACCTCTCAGGTAAGAGTAAAGAAACCAGAGGAGAGCAAAGATTCCCTCCCAATCCAAAGAACTTTTCTCATTCACTGATTGTTCAGCTCCTCAAATGCTGGATTCCCCCACTTGACTGCAAGGCACTGAGTTGCCTCTCTGAAAACTAAAAACTTAAGGCTTGGAAATTTGGGCTACGTGGTGCTAAATATCCATACATCCTTACCCATGAATGCAGTTTTGGGCTATTCATAATATTTTGATTCACTTTTATTGATAAAATTGTACCTAGTTTTTATTGCAATTTGTATTTCTATAAATATTGAAGTTGGGTTTTTAAATTAAAGTGGAAAAATCTGCACTGTCCCATGCATTATAAATAAAGTCATAGACAATAGTCTCCCTTCATCTTTTGTGAGTATCCAAAAGCCAGAGGTTCAGTAACTCTCAAAGGAGGATGAGAGAGGTTGATCGGTAGATTGTCTAAGGATGACCACCGTGTACTCTTCTCATCCATGTCAGAGTGCAGAAGTTTGTCACATTGTATGAGCCCCAGAGAGTTTATCGTGCATGCTTTATTTGCAGTTTGGGTGGATGTGCTCCATTAACGCTCTTAAAGGGGTTTCCTGGGGGATAATTTGTTTCTCTGTCTCGTCCTCACATCTAGCTGAGTAACCTGACGGAGATCCATGATCAGATCAGCGGCATGGCACGCTGTCCTTACAGCCCTCGGCACAATTCCACGGCTCTCCTCACGGCGGGCGGTGAGGTCTATGCAGCCACGGCCATGGATTTCCCCGGACGCGATCCCGCCATTTACCGAAGTCTGGGCGTCTTGCCCCCTCTCCGCACCGCGCAGTACAACTCCAAATGGCTCAACGGTAAGTCTTACCTTCACTCCCAATTTCCCCTCTCGTTGGTCTGTGATGCCCGGTGACTTGGTGTTCAAAAGCAAACTGTCAACGTTTCTAAAAATAAAATAACTTCTTCATTTTCTAAAGAAATCAAAATGTACCCGCTTTTGGATTTCAGTGTGGAAAGGTATCAGATGGCTCTTTGCCAACTCGGAAGAGAAGTGATATTCTCCACACTTAGGACATGATAATAAAGCTAATGGTGATATGAGCGTACCTCAAACTGAAGCTGCTTTTTCATATTATTGTTTGCAGTTTAGGAAATCCGATGTCATGTCAAAGATATCTGTAGCCTCATGTGCATTCTTTCTTAACTTCTTTATTAGATACCTAAAAAGGGAAATTACTAGCATTTCATGAAAGTTTCAGGCAGTTGTGTAAAAGAATGTGTTTGGCTTTAGGTAGCTCCAAATAACTTGACCAGTTTTTTTTATTTAATTTTTTATTTTATATTGGAGTGTAGTTGATTTACCATGTTGTGTTAGCTTCAGGTGTACAGCAAAGTGATTCAGTTCTACGTATACATGTATCCATTCTTTTTCAGATTCTTTTCCCATATAGGTTATTACAGAATATTGAGTAGAGTTCCCTGTGCTACACAGTAAGTCCTTGTTGATTATCTATTTCATATAGAGTAGTGTGTATATGTCAATCCCACACTTCTAATTTATCCCTCCACACCACGTTTCCCCTTTGGTAACCATAAGTTTGTTTTCGAAGTCTGTTTCGTAAATAAGTTCATTTATATCATTTTTTCTTTTAGATTCCACATATAAGTTGACCACAGTTTTTTAAAACAGGGTGTCAAGTCATACAACTGGAAGGTCAGGGTAGGTGTCTTCAGAGTTGCTCACTTCAATGACTCAAGAGTTAGTAAGGGACCCAAGTCCTGTCACTACTGTCTCTGCCACCCACAGTCTGTCAGGTTGGTCCTCAGGCTAGCTCTGCTCATGGGTGCAAACCTGGGGCTACAATTCCTGGTACTGCATCCAGACATGACAATATCCAGTGGAAGAAGAACCACGTTCCTTGTGTCCTTTTTTTTGAAGAAATCAGAAACCCCCAGAAGACTTCCCTTGAATCCTGGGCTAGAACTTGGTCACTTGCTCAATTAACAAATAGAAAGTGATTCTAGCCACCCAAATTGAAGTTAAAGTTGGCCAGGTACTGAGACCTGCCAGCTGAAATTCAGCCCTCTGCATACGGGTACACACACACTAGCAAACACAATGTTATTGATAGATGTATGCACCATATGTAATCCATTCCCTCAGTCGTTTATTTGATAGTTCGCATAAAGATGAAATCTTATAATTGCCATGATAATATTTACTATTTTGAGCTTTCAAGTCCTACAAAGATTTACTGGCTTTTCATTCAAGTACCAGCTCATTATTGTAGACCGAGTTTCTCACCTCAGCACTATTGATGCTTTGGGCCAGATAATTCTTTTTTGGCGGGGAGGGAGTTTGTCCTGATTATTGCAGGATGGTTAGCAGCAACCCTGCATTATACCCACTAGTTGCAATAGTATGGCCCACCTCCTGAATTGTGACAACAAAAACTTTGTCCAGAAACTGCCAGATATCCCTTGGGGGAAATATTGCCTCTCTTTGAGAACCACTGGTTTAGAATGATCACTTACGCATATTTATGCATATGTGTGTATATATACACACGAGCATTTTGTCAAATAAGATAGTCAAACCAGCCATCACAGTTTGCCTTTAAAAGACTCCCTTGTAGAGAAAAGAGTCTTCATCCAGTTGCTTCAGCAAGTTGAATGACTCCATGGGCTTCCAAAGGGCAACGTGAATTGTTTTCTCAAACCAAAGCACTAACTGGATTCCCTAGGTTAACATTATTTCTGTTGAACTGGTTTCAACTGGACCTTTCGACTCTCTGTGGAAGGTTTCCTTTCCGCTCTGATGCTTTCTTTCATCTGTGTAGCTTAAAGTTCTTTCTATTCATTTGTTGAGTTTTACTGGCCAAGCAGTTTACAGTTAAAAATCAAAATGACTTATTTCCCCAGCCACAAGCATTGCATTTAGAGTTTGCTGAAAGCAAAGTAAAAATTAATTCGGAGTACAATCTCTTTCTTTCCCCGGAAGCGACACCCTGAAGAATATCTTGGGAAAATAATTCAGGTTATGGCATGAGTTAGAAACACTGTTTCTTTCCATGTGACTTAGATGCCCAGGCTGATCAGGTGCTCAGATGCTGTTAACCTTCTGGGTGCAATCTTTCCCATTTGAGAGTCAGGTGATGTCATAAGGACAGCTGAAGAGCTCACCCAGGGCTTCCACAGTCACTGTAGGCATATATGTCCTAAAATCATAAATGATATTATCCAGCAACTGTGGCGATTGCAAGTAAGTCCAAGGTGAGCATGGCGGAGCCGCCACTCTGCTCACGGTGTCATCATAACTCACATGGCACTGAATTGTCCCGCCGTCCTCAGGGAGTGTCACCCTCTTGTTCCCCACCAGGAAGGCCCTCACTCCCAGGGCAGAGCACAGAGAGCCCCGAGGCTCCCAAGGTGAGTGTTGATTCCCTCTCCTGTGTTCTCTTGGGACACTTCCTTCTACTGAACCCTGAGGTATCATTTCCACCTCTGATTGGCCCTGGTTTTCTGCTCTGACTCTCCCTCCAGCATAGATTCTGGCCTCTGAGCCCCACTGAGCTCTGCTTCTGTGCCCCTGCTGGGCCCGGATGCGGGGACATTTATTCTCACTGTTCTTGGAATCCACACTTTTCCTTCCATCTGCCCTTTGACCAGACACCCTGTCTCTGTTCTTTCCACTGTGCTCTGGAGTAATTTTCTTTCTTTACTGGAGGCTGGTGCTTTACCTGTTATCCTTTTTTTCCATATCCTTAAATTTCTTGCTCTCTGGTGATAATCACCATCTTTTTATAAAAATGCTCAGATCTCCTCCCTCTTCCATGAGACAAAGACAAAGAAACGCAATGAAGCTAAAAACACCCGTAGTTCTGCAGTATCCAGGAAGGGTCCTATTTCCTGTGTGATATTAGGTGCCCACTAAATGGAGATCAGAGAGTTCGATTTGTTCTTGATAGAGCTTAGTGTCGGAAAATCCCAGGGCTGGTGTGCTAAGAAGATGCAGACTATGACCTGCTGAAAGAAGAGGTACAAGTTTCCACGTGGGGTTGGCAGGCAGCTTCCTCAGCATCCAACCTCCCGTTTTGGGGAAGTGAAAACCCTGGGGCTTTGATTGAAGGTGCGGTTTCAATACACTCACGCAAAGAAAGTACAGTCACAAGGTTTATTACTTGCAGATCCCAGAGCCCAGGCCCCAGGAGCTGGGGAAGGGCAGCCCTCCATCCCAGGTCAAGAGCAGGAGATAGAGAGAAGGGTAGCAAACACCTATTAACTTACAAGGTTATCTGGGCAGAGGTCACTGTCTTTTCGTGGGCTCAGTGGTCGTATAAGAAGGTAGGGGATGGAGGCTTTGGAGGTGGAAAGTCCTGCCGGCGAATCAGCGCTCACCCTTCAGGATGCTGATTTGTCTCAATTCTCGGTTTCCTCGCTTGCAAGCTGGAAATAACTTGCCACCGGACCTGGCGGTTGTGAGATAAAAAATCAGACCATGAAGATATGACGAATATTGGTGGCATGCAGCAGGTACTCGATACATAGACGTAATTACTGTGAACTCCCCAAAGTCTGATACGACATCGGATGCATAGTGGCAGTGAGTAAACGTCTGTTGGCTGAGTTCGTGGAGGAACATTTTGGGCTGTGGTTCCTGATTACTGACACCTACCAGCCTCTTGTTTCCCATCTTTCCTGACACTGACAAGCCTCCTCTGTGCTTTCCCCACTGTGCCCCCTGCTGCCCCTCTGGGCTGGACTCTCCTGACTGCCGTGTCCTGCTGCTGCCACGTCCAGGTCCCCCAGACACCTTCACCTACTACACAATCCTCAGTACCTCCAGGTGTTTACAGGGCTCAGGGTCCCCGGGAGGCCATCACTCAGCTAACAGCTGCTTACAGGTTATGATAAGCAGAGCTCCTGTCTTTGGTTTGGACATTTACCAGTTTTCTGCCAACATTTCTCTGTTGACGAAAGAGAACTTTCTCCGCAGGGGAGGTGTGGGGGATAGCACCTGTGAACCGTGGTCAGCAGAATTTTTGTTTTCAGCTTCCCTGCTGTGATTAAATTGTGTATAGGATAAGTTGCCTGTACAGGGAGGGTTAATTAACTCGTACGGGGCAAGCTCATGGCATGAGCGGTACAGCGGTCGCTAGCGTTTCTTGCTCGCCTCTGCCAGCCCTGTGCCAGGCATCTCCCTCCTCAGCCAGCAGCTAGGCACCAACCAACTTCACTTCCTCAAGCCATGCCTTCAGCGACATTTTGGACGCTGGCTGTTTGTTTTGTTTGTTTCCTAGGGTTGCTGCCACGAAGTGCCACAAACTGGGTAGCTTAAAACAGAAATGTGTTCTCTCAGAATTCTGGAGGCGAGAAGTCCAAGATCAAGGTGTCGGCCGCCCGTGCTTTCTTTGAAGACTCCAGGGGAGGGCCCTTCCTCACCTCTTGTAGCTCCACCGCCCTCAGCATCCCTTGGCTTGTGGCAGCAACACTCCAGTCTTTCCCTCTGTTCACACGGTCTACTTCCTGTGGCTCTGTGTCCTCATATGGGTCCTATGGGATTAGGGCCCCCCTTATCCCAGTATGACCTCATCTTTACTAATTATATCTGCCATGACCCTACTTCCAAACAAGGTCACATTTATAGGTACCAACATATATTTGGGGGGATACAATGCAACCCGCAATAGTGCCCTAATCAGGAAACGCTCAAATGTTGAAATCTTAAACTTCTGTGTCTTATTTTCCAATGACACTGTTACATCTCTTTCTGTGTTGTGGGTGAATCCTCTGGCCGCACTCAGTCTCCTGGGCTCAGCTGTGTTCTCCTTGTTCTCGACAGACAGTGTTCCCTTCT